TTACTCAAGGTTTTCTGCTTCTTGCATTCTTTGGTGTAGCTGTTTCCCGAAATCAAAGCTATTAACGCAGTGTAAAAGCACGTGATACAGGAAATCAAAAACTCGTGAACACAAATAGACATGCTCGTATGAGATGTGACATTAATGTCAATCAAAACACCAATCGAAACATTAACATCACAAAACATCAAAAACTCAAACAGCTATGCATATGATATGCAATGTAGATGCAATGCACATTATCTCCCTTACTGCGACTCTCCATGTTTATATGCAGTAGGCAAAATGCATCTATGTCTCTCCCTAACAACCCCTAGACATTAAATCTCTCCCTTTGTAAATACTCTCTCCCCATTTCTTTCAATAATGACGAAGAGCGTATAATCACTCAAAAATGCAGTCGTTAGCACGCATAAATATAATGAATGTTCAGTAAACCTTTCCACATACTCAGTTCTAGTTAACATGGAGTAAATTGTGTAAGTGACCAATGTGCGTAAAGTGTCACTAATCATTTGTAAATAGGACTCCAAGCCTTAATTTTGTGAGAAAGGACATGCTAAACATCACTGTCAATAAATATATTACTCTACTTATGAAAATCAAATCATTTAAAGTGCATTAGGACTTTAAAATAAGAGATCATTATGTATTGATATTTTCTTTTCTCTCTCTGACTGTGAGCATACTTTATTTTCACATATTTGAATATTTTAAGCTCATAATTATTTTTCACATCTTAAGTGCAGACTCTTCTCCATTAAGAAACAAAATTGACCCATGTAGCGAGCTTTTGGCTGGTTAACCCAAGTCAGTTGACCATATGCACCAGGTTATGAGAAACCCTCCAGGCTTAATTGCTCGAGTAAAATCGGCTCTGAATTAAAATATAAGATATTGATCTTTTTAATTACCGGGGATAACCTTGAGCTTAGGTCTAATAAATATGGTCAATTCATGTTCAAAGTCAACTTACTAATATGTGATTGCCATCCCAAATCTCACACGCGCGGTTAAGTCCCATTATAATATGATAGTGTATGCAGTACATATGGTACATACAGACACCTATACTAATTACTCTGTATCAACCCAAGCAAGTAATGAAAACTATGATACAGCTTATCAATTATGTCCATACATGATCACAATATGCAAGTTTAAGAATGTCATATATGCTGTAAAAATTTCCACCATTCAGTTTTTATTTTTTTGATTTTTCAATTTTCAATTTTTTTGTTTTTAATATAAAATATGAATGCACCAAGCACATAAAAAAATGTCAAATACACAGAAAAATAAATAAAACAAAATGCATGAGTTTTCTACCTAGAAAACAAATAAATAGATGTGATGCATGCATAAATCAATGACACAATAATAAAGTTCGAGCATGCATAAAAAATACATAATCAGTTAGGCATGCAACTGCTCTTACCTTCAAGAGTACCGTGATCTATATCATAATTTTTCATATTACTTTTCTTCACCCAAACTTGCCTAGTGACAGGAATATTTTCGATCATCTGTGTCATCAACGTAGCCAATTTACTGACTTGATTAGTAAGGAAGTTAATCTGAACAACATAATCCTGATTTTTATTTCTATTTAAGTTCTCATTTCTATTTCTTTTCAGGAAATGATGACACCTAGGCTTTATGTGTCCTAACTCACCATAGTGAAAACATGTAGGGATAAATCTAGGACCAAAGGTATGTGGACGCTGATGTCTATTCCTAGGTCGATGGGTCCTATGTTGTCTAGTAGGCCTCTATCTAATAAATCCCTTATCTTTAAGATTAGGGTTAGGCACATGTTTGGGCTGGTCAGTAGCAGGAACAAACGTGGTCTCAGAAGTACTAGCACTATTTTCCTTAAAACCTAGACCTCCCTTATTTCCAGCTGGCTTGCCCATTCCTAAAATGTTATCTCTTTTCAAAACCACTAGAGAAGGCAAGCAATTGAGTCTTAGAATATTCTAGATCACTCAGAAGGTTCTTAACCTGGATTTTCTAAGGTCTCTTTCTTACTGGTCAACTCGTCGACTCTCTTAGAGGACTTCTCAAGCTCACTGGTGAGGTTCTTAACCTGAGTCTCTAAAGTTTCCTTCATGGATTTCACTTCACTCAGGATAGAGGTAGACTCTTTAATGTACGCTACTAACTTCTCATTTTCCAATTCCAGTTCTTTATTCTTCACACTCAAGGC